AGTAAACAACACATTTTAAAGTAACATATGGGTCCAAGAAGGAGTCTCAAGAGGAATGAAATAGTATTTTATGAAAATGAAAATACAACTTACCAAAATATGTGGGATGAAGTGCTTAAAAAGAAATTTATAGCACTGAATGCATAGAGTAGAAAAGAAGAATGATCTAAAATCAATAACCTAATCTTCCTCCTTGGGAAGTTAAAAAATAAAGTATAAATTAAATCCAAAATAAGCAGAAGGAACAAAATGAAAATAAAGAAATCAATGAAATTGAAAACAGGAAATCAATAGAAAGCATCAACAATGCCAAAATCATATGATCACATCAATAGATGAAGTAAAAAGCATTTGACAAAATTCAACAGCCATTCATGATAAACATTCTGAACAAACTAGGAATAGAGGGGAATTTTCTCAACTTGCTAAAGAACATGTACAAAAAAACTACAGCTAACATTTTACTTAATGGTAAAATTAAGCACTAAATGGTAAAATTTCCCAGTAAGGTCAGGAACAAGGCAAGGATATTCCCCTCTCATCGCTGCTTTACAGCATCATACTGGAAATCCTAGCTAATTTAATAAGAAAAGTTACTAAATGGTATATAGATTCGGGAGGAAGAAAGTAAACTGCCTTTGTTTACAGACGACATGATTGTGTAGAAAATTCAAAAGCAGTTGACAAAAAAAAATTGAACTAATTAGCAATTATAGTAAGGTTACAGAATTCAAGGTTATATGCAAAAGTCAATTGCAATTGCATTCTTATATATCTGCAATGAACAACTAAAATCTGAAATTAAAAATACCATTTTTATTAGTACCTCAAAAAATGAAATGCCTAGGTACAACACGGAAAGTATACAAAATTAAGAGATATGAAGGATAACTAGAAGGCCTGACATACATTTCACTGGAGCTCCAAAACTGGATAAAGAGAAACAAATTTGAAAATAAAATATATGAGAATTTTCCAAATAGTGAAATCCACATATTTGTAAAATTAGGAGCCTCAATAGATTCCCAAGCATTCAACTAAAAAGAAATCTACACTTGGATCCTAACAAAGAAAAGTCTTAAAATCATCCGGGGGGTGGGGGCGGGGGGAAAAAAGATGGCCAAATGAAATGATTTGACAGCCAACTTCTCAACAGCATCAGTGGAAGCTAGGAGATAGGAACCTTCTTTAAGAACTCACTGTTCCTTAGTATTTACTAAAATTTATTTACAGGCAACCCAGAATTTTGTATACAGTGAAACCATCTTTCAAGAATGTATAATATAAACATTCTAGGAAAAAAAACCCTGAGACAGAACTCAAAACACTGGGCAACAATATTGTGTGTGTGTGTGTGTGTGTGTGTGTGTGTGTGTGTGACTGAAATTAAAGTATTCTCAAGTCTTGTATTGTTAGTTAAAGTTGTTTAACTTTAGACTTTATTAAGCATGATGTTATCACTTATAAGTAGCAATTGAAAGAATAGAAACAGTATGTATAACGTTCCAATAAGATTAAAAATGGAGTAAGAGAAAAATCCTTAATTCCATGAAGACAGATAGAAAAAGGCCCCAGAAAAATCCAGAAAATAGAAAGTATAAAATAAAATATTAAAAGCAGCAGCAAATATAAAATCATCACAGTAAGAGTTTAAAAAATAAATTTGGGGGATCCCTGGGTGGCGCAGTGGTTTGGCGTCTGCCTTTGGCCCAGGGCGCGATCCTGGAGACCCGGGATCGAATCCCACGTCGGGCTCCCGGTGCATGGAGCCTGCTTCTCCCTCTGCCTATGTCTCTGCCCCTCTCTCTCTCTCTCTCTCTCTCTGTGACTATCATAAATAAATAAAAACTTAAAAAAATTAAAAAATAAATTTGCCAGTTAAAAGACAGTGGTGGCTGGACTGGATATAAATCCAACAAAATCCACTTACATGCCATTTACAGGTGGCAAACCTAGAACATCACGATATAAAAAGTTTGACAGTAAATGAATAGATTTTTAAGGCTGAAAAATAGAGTTTTCATAATTGAAAAGAGATAGAACAGCTGTATGAATATGAGATAACAAGCAACAAAGCATACACGGAGGTATATCATTCAATTCTCTAGGATAATATACAAATAAACTTTGTCTATATTTACTGAGGTGTCAGAACATGTTAAGGCAGAAATTTATCAGAACAAATAGAAGTTATTAACAAATTCACCTTTCTCGAACGGTATTTTAACACATTCTTCTGAGTAATCGATAGGTCAAGCAGACTAGAGAGTAGGCTATGGAAGACCTGAGCCACATGGTTAGCCAGCGAGTTGTTCTAAGCACATGTACAGTACTCTGTACCTAAACACACATGGGTCGTTTATAAAAACTGATAATGTATCAAGCCGTAAAAAAACAAAAATCTCTAACTTCAAAGGCTCAGTTATCATTGAGTCTGATAATTTCAGTGTCATACCAGCCATTGTTTTTATGCTAAATAAAATACGTAAAACACAAGAGCTTAACTGTTCACTTCCCCTCTGAGACCTGCTGGAAGCAGGAGATACTGTCTCCCGGCGTGGTAAATCTTGTCTGTTGTAAGCTTGATCACACCCTGTGTTTTGTTTTGTTCTATTTTGCTTTACAGTTATGCTACTACCTGGGTCTTTGTCCTGTTGGCAACATTATGCATGGAATTCTATAGTTATCAGAAGTTGTCATATAGCATTACTGTCTTGATCCCATAGTTTTTTCCCCCCACTGGCTCCACCCCAATGTTGGTACTTCTGTCATGCCCAAATTTGTGGCTCAGCTGTTCAAAAAAGGGGAACAAATTTCAGGGCATTTTCAAGGCTGACCCAAGCAGACTCATGTATAAGTAATTGTTGGTGAAGACCTTTCTGCAAGACACCAGAGATTCTGTTCCACTTGAGTGAAAATCACACAGAGCTCCTGAGCTGGTGGTGCCTGGGCCTACTGAAAGTCTGCAAACTTCTGCCCCAAGATGAGGCAAAACAGCCCTGATTTCTAAGATTCCTGACTTGACCTTAACACTGGATTCTTTCTTGGATACTCTTACAAAAGAGATCAAAGGGCCCACCACACAGGCAAACAAGCAATGGGGAGAGACAGTGCATTCAACCCTTTGGTTCACTAAAACTATCCACATTTTGGCTACAAAATCAGTTAATTCTCTTTAGGAGCTTTCCTAAAATAGATATTATCATATGTAAAAATTCACAAACATTTTAATATTTGAAGGAAAGGTATGGTATGGTTGGGAGTCAGGAGACGGGCTGTGACCCAGCTCTATGGGATCTAGGGCAAGTGCATTGTCAGGCCCGGTTTCTCTCTGTTAAATTAGGAATACCTTTGGGGTGACACTTTCTGGGTCTTCTGTGAAGCCCATAACAATCACAGCTCTCCCCTTCCCTTCTTGAGTGCCCTGGCTCCAACTCTGAGCCTTCTTGATCCACAGCGAGGGGTCCCACGTCCCTCTGTGTTAGGTTCCAGGTACACACGATTTGGCCACGGAATGACCCTTTATTCACTCAGGCCAGTGAGGTTCTCTTTTAGAGAATTCTCCCAGTTGGGGCTAGCAGGTAGACCGCCAATCCGTCCTGGCATCTAGATATATACTGTAGAAATTGGGAAGCTGGAGTGTGAGACTGTCTTTTAACATAGGAACTGAAAGGTGGAGTGACAACACAGAAAATAACACTATTTGCAAAGAGTGACAATGAGGCAAGCATAGAGACAGGAGCAGAGATAAGGAGAGGGGAAAACCATGAATTTCCAGGCCCTGCCCGATAGCCCAGGTACATCTGTAGCCTCGGGTACTGGCATTCTGCTCTGAACTGTGTAATCAATACTGTTTTTCGCTTAAGATTGCTCCAAGGGTTTTGTCATGTAAGGTCAGAATCCTAATTCATGTAGTGGGTTGTTTCCAGGGTCCCTTCATCTTCCCGATTCTGTGGCTGTGGGATGGGGAATGCTTTTGCTTCCTGCTCTGGACATGCCTGGGAAGTTGCCATCAAAGGTTTTTATACTCAGCAAAGGGTTATTATTTTTTTTATTGTAGAGGCACTAAATTCTAAATTATTCATGAATAGACATTTAATGTAAAGCATTCACCTTCTATCCTATTTTAGGAACAAGATTAGGAAAAATGTAGAGCATTTCATCAGTTTTAATTACTAAATACTTTGGTTTTAAAAATCGGAATTTGCTTTTTTGTTTTAAATGTTAATTTAGGGCTTACTTCCCCACAAAATATTAGAACATAAGATTAATCATCTTCCTTAAGTAGAAATTAGCATATTAGTTATTATTTATTTTCTACCCACTTTAAGATTTTGAAATGTGGAGAAAAGGAAACCTTGCACGGCTGATAGGAAGGTACAGTGGTGCAGCCACTATTGAAAACGGTATGAAGGTTCCTCAAACAAAAACAGAAACACCAGGGATCCCTGGGTGGCTCAGCGGTTTAGTGTCTGCCTTCAGTCCAGGGTGTGATCCTGCAGTCCCGGGATCGAGTCCCACATTGGGCTCCCTAAACAGAGCCTGCTTCTGTCTCTGCCTGTGTCTCTGCCTCTCTCTCTCTCTGTCTTTCATGAATAAATGAATAAAATCTTAAAAAACAAAACAAAACAGAAACACCATGTGATCCAGTAATTCCTCAAATGGCTATTTATCCAAAGAAAACACTAATTCTAAAAGATATGTGCACTCCTATGTTTATTGCAGCATTATTTACAATAGCCAAGATATGGAAGTAACTTAAGTGGCTGTAGATAGATGAATCGATAAAGATGATGTGCTATATATACCCATTGGAATATTATTCAGCCATAAAAAAGAATGAGAGCTTGCCATTTGCAGCAACATGGATAGACCTAGAGGATATTATACTAAGTGAAATAAGTCAGAGAAATACAAATACCATATTTTCACTCATAAGTGCAATCTAAAAAAAAAAAAAAAACCCCCACAAATAAGCAAATAAAAAGCAGGGACAGAGAACAAACTGATAGTTGCCAGAGGTGAGGGGGTGTGGGGGGCTGGGCACAATGGGTGACGGGGCATGGGAGACACAGGCCTCCAGCTATGGGATGAATAAGTGTCAAGATTAAAAGGCACAGCATAAGGTATATAGTCAATGATATTGTAATAGCTTGTGGTGAGCACAACATCACATACAGAGTTGTTGCAATGTTGCACACCTGCAACTAACATAATGTTGTGTATTATACTTCAGTGTATTTTACTTCAATAAAAAAAGATTTTGAGGTGTTCCACAATTTTTTTAAGAACCAATTTTATTTATTTGAGAGAGAGAGAGAGAGAGAGCTTACATGAACAGGGGCAAAGGGAGAGGGAGAAGCAGACTCCCCTACTAAGCAAGGGCTGATGCAGGGATCCCAGGACCCTGGGTTGTGACCCCAACAGAAGGTATACACTCAACTAACTGAGCCACCCAGTTGCCTGTATGTGTTTCACAATTAAAAAGAAAAATAAAACTACGAAAATCTAAAAGGACTCCCTTTTAGAAGCCAATGAGAAAGAGAAGAGAGAGGGTAACAGGAACTCAAGATAAATTGGCTATTAAAGTTGAACATCAAATTTATCTGAGAGAAAACATTCCAGGTTAAAGAATATAAATGACTGCCTGTTCTTATCTCTAAATTTTAATTTATAGGATACTTATAGCAGTGTAATAATAGAGAATCCCTAAACTCTACATATCTATTTTTTTCATTACTATGGTATTTGACCATCAGAAAACCAAAACCAAAATCCAGTATGTCCAGGACTGCCATGAGTCTCAAAGAAACTGAATTCACTCTGCCTCTCCTGTTTCTTCCCTTTTTCTCTTTTGATTTTTCAGAAAATTCTGACAGTCACGGAGGTGGAGATGGAAAATATATCGAAGATTAACAACACCGTTAGAAGGCCGACTTTGAAAGGTATTTAAAGGTCAAGTATGTTATAACTGTGTTAATATCGCAGTAGATTTATAAATACACTGATATTTTTAGAAATACCATCTTTAAGAAAAAATTAACTTTTATTAATTTGATGCATCTGAACATAATAAAATAAATGAACATAAAACACTTCAGTGAACTCGGAAGGGTAGATAAATTTATGGAAATGGAAACACATAGGAAAGATATGTACATTTAGGCAGATGCTCTAATGTCTATGTTAGGTGAATGGTTATGAATGCATTTGAGCTAGAGTGAGACATTTTACATCCTTTCTAGTCTGAATGTGGCAATATTTTACGGAAAATGAACAAGGTGTCATGAAGGTAAAGTAGCAAAAATGCACATGAGGTTAGAAACGATTAAGCCCATGGCACAGAGAGCTTTATCTGTCCCCTTAGGACATGTTGCCTCTTTTCTTTTGCAAAGCCTTCATGAGATCTGACATGAAATCCTGCTCTCCGCTGCCTCCCCCGACGGCCGGCCCCGGGCTCTCTTTCCTCTTTGGGGGAGCAGGAGGTCTTTTAAGGGCAACCGGGGGTGGCCTTGCGGCCTCGGGGGCCGGTGGGGGCGGGGGCGGGGGCGGTAACGCCGAGCCCACATCCCCTGCGAAAGACGGCGGTGGGGGAGGCACGAAGTCCGGGGGTGCATCGTGAAAATCAGGGGGAGGCGGAGGGAGCTCGTCCTCGTCCAGGGGTGGCGGGGGCGGTGGCGGCGGCAGAGAATCCTCGGGAGGGGCAGGGGCAGGGAAGCCCCCTCCCAAGCCCCTGGCCCTGGGGGCTGTGGCCGGACTGCTGCAGACATCCGACGACCGTCGCACCGGAGGGGGTGGCGGCAGGCTGGACTTAGGGAACTGGTGGGCCTTGGGCGCTCCCGGGCCCTGGTTACCCAGGGCTGGCTTCTTGTCCTTCAACAGAGCAACCACAGCGTGACATTTCCATTGAAAGGTGAGGTCTGCCTCCCGAGGGGTGGGGGAGCCTCCATTCCACAGGCCCTGGGACTACAGCTCATGAGGCTGTTCATGAGTTAGCTCCTCTTGGCTCTGCATTACAGTGACTTCAAATGGCCCTTCACATTATTACCAATAATAACATTATTTAATGCTAATCATGTCTTCTTTAGTGAATGGAAGATTTAGTACTATTCCACGAAGTGTTTATTACATTTAGATTATAGAAGTATCTCCTCCCAACCACCTTATAGAGGACTTACCCATGCCTCTTTAGTGATACAGAGTTTAGCTAGTTATGGGCTTACTTCAGTCTTCACCTACCCTAAGCTCAGGCTAAGGAACTCAAAATGGCAGCAAAATGGCTCTCCAGGAATTCCCACTCATGGCCTGGCTCCCAACACAAGCCTCCCAGGTCCGAGGCATATGCAGCCATGACATTTTTCTTGGTCTGAGTTGAGCCGGTTGTAAAGCTCAGTTGTCAGAAGCAGGAGTCTGTACAATTGTTTTGCTTCTGTATCATACCTCCAGTGGTAGAGAGGTGATTAAGAAGCTTCCCCAAACCTTCCCCAAATCTCCTGGCTCAGTGTCCTCCTTTGATTAGCACAAGGAAGATGGAAGGGAGAAATAAAAGAGTTCTCTCTAGGTTACCGGTGACCTTTGTTCAAATTTGGGCATAAAGAACTCTCCTAGCAAAGAACTGTTCTGCCTCTCTTGCATCAGTGATTGCCGGCATGCTGAGAACAAAGACACCTTGTCCCAGGACTGTGGACTACCAGGGAGAAGCCAATTATATGCTTCACTCCCACGGCATACATAACACCTTCAAGGGAGGCGGTGGGTGGATCTGGAATCCACACACTTGGTCCATAGTCCAAAGGTCCATTTACTTTTTCTTAACTGTGGGGAAGTCGTCTGGCTAACTAGGGATAAAAGGAGCATCATAGGCTTTGTTATTATCTGTGCCTCAAAGTTCTGATATCAAAGGAGCTAAATGTGTGGCTGGGTTCTGTAGAGTAGAATCATGCTGCACATACTACTGGTGGAAACCAGAGCAGGAGACTTGGCCAGACTCACAGAGGACTGTGCTCATAGAGGCACAGTCCTTCTGCCAACAGCGCAACAGATAATAATAGTAAATTACATCATACAACTTCTCCAGGAATTTCAGGCAGCTTAGCTGAATCCCTCTGTTTTAATAATTATCATTGCAATTTACAATTTATCAGGCTTTCATTTTTTGCTTAACAACCTCTTACCAGATGATTCAATTTAGAAGTTTTTTTTCCTAACAAAGTGCCTATTTTATTTAGTTTATTTGCTTAGCATGATAAGCTAATTGACTAGTGATATACTTAAAAAAATTTCTGAACAGGCAGCTTGAAAACTGATGTTCACAACAAGGAAGCAATTTCTATTCTGGGATCTTGTTGCTTTCAGCATTTTTGAGTGTTTCTCTTCAGCTGACATTGCGGGAACCATAGAAATAATAAGAGCTGAAGGTACAGTGCATGATGTCAGACTTGAGAAGCTCATAAGAATATTAGAGAAACACAATTTTAATGGTTTATAACGGTTTTCAAAAGCTAGAACAAGTTCAATAAATACAAGATTTAATTGCTCCCACCACTGGTTGATGGACAAAATGAAAGGGAGGAATGAAGTGAAAAATTATGGAAAGTACAGTTATTCAAGATTGTTTGAATCATATTGTTTGAAAACAGTCAACAGAATAGTCAGTTGAGATGTTACCAATTAGACTAGTAACTAGATCACAACTTTCAGCTGCAACTTTCAGGTTAAATGAATCTTCATTAATCTACTCTACTGAAAAAAAATTATTTATAGAGAATGTTCTATCGATTTGGCTATTATTTTAAAATGTGTTTTCTTCTCTATCACCCTGAGGATGTATGTAGAACATTAATAGAAAAATCTAAAATGCACATTTTTTTCTAAAAGAACCCTATTAGTAGTCTTATAATCTGGTTTTGGGGCTTAGCATTTAATATAGGGCTTCTGACTAACTGGTTGCTCTAATTTATTCAGAAAAACATAAGTAAAAATCCCAAGGGTTTAAATCTCAGGAGCCACTCTCAGAGTGCTAAAACCTTGCCTAAACCAAGAAAATCCCTTCAGTCAAAATCAATGTAGCTAAATTAAAAATATTTACCAAGCCTCAGCATTAAAAAAAAAAAATTCTTATATTTTCCTGGAGCAATGTGATAATAGCTGGTTTTAACTTTCCATTCTAGCCTGTATAACTTTAAGATTATAAAAAAAAGGGCAATGATCTAAATGAAATTATAGTGACTTCTCAGTTGTTGGAACTAGATTTTCTCCCTTTAGAAGAGCAGTTATTGGACCCTTGCTAATGGTTTAGAATATGGGCTTACCAGAGACAGGTTGAAAATGAGGTCAGTTTCTGCCTTACCTTAGTTGTTTCCGCATGCCTCTGGGCTTCTTCAAGAACAGTGCTTACAGAATGGGCAGCCTGGGGGATCTGACCATTGGCCTGAGGGGTGCTTGTTTTAAGTCCTGAGGAGGGGGAAAAAGACAAGAAGAGTGGGCAAGGGATATTCAACATTCTTGCAAGTTCATCTAAAAATATCAAGTACTTTATATAGGTACACAGGCCTTAACAGAAAACCTGAGGTTCTATGGCAATACTGCGTGAGATTCAGCAAAGGTTTGGGAAAGTTAATCCTTTATATAGATTACAACATCTGGATTAATTTAGAGAATAGTATGTTGTTTTTTTTTTTTTAACAATTTTATTTATTTATCTGAGAGAGAGAGAGAGAGAGCATCAGGAGAGGGGAGGAGCAGAGGCAGAGGGAGAAGCAGGATCCCCACTAAGTAGAGAGCCCCGATATGGGGCTGGATCCCAGGACTCCGGGATCAGGACCTGAGCCAAAGGCAGATGCTGAACCGGCCGAGCTACCCAAGTGCCCCATTTGTTCTGTTTTCAAAAGCCTTTGTTTTTGGGGTTTGTTCTGTTTTTGTTTAGAGAGGAGAGGAGGAGGGACAGAGAGAATCTTAAGCAGGCTCCAGACGTAGCATAGTGCCTACACAGGGCTCAATCTCAACAACCCTGAGGTCATGACCTGAGCTGAAATAAAAAATCAGACACTTGACTGACTGAGCCACCCAGGCACACCTCAAAAGCCTTTTGATAACTGGAGAATAAACTCTGAAAAACTGTTTTAAAAACTCCTGTTGTTGAAGATTTTTCTGAAATGTGTGTTTCTAGTTTCATACTGTGCTGTGTACAGGAATAACTTTTGTTTTTTTTTTTCTAGGAATAAATTTTGAACATTATTCTCATCAGCAAGTACTATGGGCACAAAAATAGCAAACATAGAGGACGAAGCAAAATATGGAGATCCCTGAGGTACCCTGGAATAGACCTTCTGCCAGGAAGTTCTGAATAAGCACTTATTTTCCTACCTTTTAATTTACCCTTTGTCACAAAAGTGAGATTAACTGAGGTCTCAGTTTTGAGGGAATCTGATAGATTTCCTCAGATATATGTGGATCTCTCTGGTTCCTTAGAGAACATCCTGGGGAAGGATGGCCACCTTGCCACACATGAAAGCCCTCTCTCCAGCGACTAAACTGCCACCCAGCCCACTATGACAACAGGTCACTGAGTGAACTCAGAGATTGCTTTAGCTCTGCTCAGTGCCAGCTCTTCTGTCAAGTATTTATGAAATGATCATTTGCTTGCTTCTTCAGATATTTTTCCAATAGTTTGAGAAACCCATTCATCTACATAACAACTCAAAGAAGGCTATTAGGGACTTAAGACTGGGAAGAATAGACTGTTTGATGGGGAATAGGATATTTACAGGGCCTCAAAGTATCTCTCTACACATTATTAAGTACCCAATGAAAAATCTGTATAGGAGAGAAATTGGACAACACACTAACCAAGTGGTCAAAATGAATGTTTCTAATGAGCGGCAAACAGATATCGTAAGCCTCTGATCGTGATACCCTGAGAAGGACACACAGTCCTCATGCAGGATTCCTGCAAAAAATACACTACTATCTCAAATGAATCACTTGGAGACATCAGACACATCCAAATTGAGGGATGTTCTATAAAATAAATGGCCCTTATTCTTAAAAAAACTGTTAACATCCTGACAGGGAAAGGCTAGAAGAATGTTCCAGATGAAAGAGAACTAAGGGGACATGATAAATAAATGCCATACACTATCCTGGGCAGAGCCTGTGCCAGGAAAACATGCTGCTGTCAAAGGCACTGCTGAGACAGCTGGAAAAACTGGAATATGGATTGTGATTTACATAATATTAAATTTCCTACGTTTGATAACTGTACTCTGGTTAGTAAGAGAATAGCCATGATTTTAGGAACCACAAAGACTGCAAGGGAAGGGAGTATGAGGTATCCAATCTACTCTCAAATGGTTTGGAAAATAACATGACTGTGGATAACATATAGAGAAGCGAGAGGAGATAGAAATGATAATGCATATATGACAAATGCTCAATACTGGTGGTCTGCGGAAAGGGTTCTTTGTAGTCTTGCAACTTTTCTGTGTTTTTGATTTCAGAACAAAAAAAGGTATCTGTGTCCATTTATGCAGGTGAAATATTAGAACAGGCTATAACCACTTTCTCTACTGCCAGTTTTTTATTATAAAATCCATGTTCCTCATTCAGCAAGGACAGCCACCTCATTGTTCTGAGCGGACCTTCACTTGCCCTCTTCAGCACGCCCGTACAGGGCTGTTAGAGCGTACATGATGTGTCACATAAATGTGCATTTCTCTAGCTCTAAGGCTTATTAAACATCTCTAATTAGCCACAGCTTTGTTCTGGAGGTCAGGAAGTAACAAGTCTAAACATCTCAAAGCCTTACGATGTTTACACTTAAGGTTTTCATAAGGCCCTGTGCATGGTACCAGCCGCTCCTGGGAGATTTAAACCTCTTAGATTCCGAAGTGCTCCATCTCCTTGTCTCCTCTGGTCTATTTTCTTTCTTCTCTTCCACTTCTTATACATATTCAAGTCCTTTCTTTATATATAAACACCTTCGTACAAAGCAAGCAGAAACTGGAGCTGAATCCTTAAGACCACTGGGGGGAATTCCTTTGAAGGACACAAATTGTATTTTCTTTTTGCTTCTTTTGCCCAAACACATACACAGGCTGATTTCTGACCAACACAGCATGTATTTTCATGAACTAGGATGTCCTGCTCTTTAATCTGTTTGTGAGAACAAACAAATAATAATGATACCCCAAATGCTTCAAGCTGCTGTCTTCCCATGGACCAGGAAATCCAATCTTCTCCATGGGCTCTCTGCCCCATCCTGACAACCTGTAACCTGTGGGCACCCACATAACCCATATATTCTGTAGGTCCACTGACTTGGGATCTAAGTCGTATGGGTTCACTGATTAACAGTCCCAGCTGTCAAGTAGCAATATAGCCTTTCCCACCGTCTCTATAGGAATCTTTGGCGGAACTAGGGGTTGTAAGTTGATTAAACAAGTATGAGCCTCACATGCTTTACAGGACTCAAGTACATTCTGAAAAGGGAGCCAAACCCCAACCCCTCATTCTTAACCCACATGGTTTATGAAAGGCCAATCCTCCCACTTGACCTGGCAAATCAGAGGGCAGCAACCTCCTGGGCATAGTAAGCTCGTTAGGAATGGGCATGAGGGATCCCTGGGTGGCGCAGCGGTTTGGCGCCTGCCTTTGGCCCAGGGTGCGATCCTGGAGACCCGGGATTGAGTCCCACGTCGGGCTCCTGGTGCATGGAGCCTGCTTCTCCCTCTGCCTGTGTCTCTGCCTCTCTCTCTCTCTCTCTCTCTCTCTGTGTGACTATCATAAACAAATAAAAATTTATATATAAAAAAAAGACTAAAAGAGGATTGGGCATGAAAGAGCACTCCCAGAGCTTTTTCAGAGATGAGACATTCTATTTGTACTAATATTTCCAGCTGTGTGAAAAATGTAAGCCTAGAGAATCAGTGGCAGTCCTTGCCACCTTATGGGGATGGTGCCTAAGAAGCCATATCTTGATGACATCACTTGATGACATCACCCCTGGATCTTGCTGTGCATGAAGGAAGCCTACCCCTGGACCTCCTAGTTTTGCGCATTAATAAATCTATCCCCCTCGCTTTTTATTGCTTAAACCAGACCAAGTTGGATTTCTGTCAACTGCCATGTGAAAAGTCCTGACTAAAAATAGTCACTAAAATCAAAGTGATTTAATAAGTACTAAGAAAAAACCCTCTATGACTGTTCTCTAACATGGAAAAAAAAAAAAGCTGCCATTTATCTAGAATAAATTCCTTGTTAAAGCACTTTGGATAAGTGAACAATGCCTCCAGGGTATTTCAGTTGGAAAATCATAGAAATACCTCATGATTTCTTTCAGTGTCTAGAGGAGAGAACAGTTCTAAACTAATCAAACAGATATTAATTATGACTGGTTTAAAAAGGACAATTCAGGGCAGCCCAGGTGGTTCAGCAGTTTAGTACCGCCTTTGGCCCAGGGCATGATCCTGGAGATCCGGGATCGAGTCCCATGTTGGGCTCCCTGCATGGAGCCTGCTTCTCCCTCTGCCTATGTCTTTGCCTCTCTCTCTCTGTCTCTCATGAATAAATAAATAAAATCTTAAAAAAAATAAAAGGGACAATTCATTGTAGACCTTAGGATAGGAAGAAATTAGCCACATGAAGGAAAACATGTCATAAACAGAGGGAACAGCATCTGTAAAGTCCCTAAGAGATGATGGTGTTTGGGGCTTTAAAAACTAGGAAAAAACAAGCGGCCCATGTGACAAGAATGGGAAGACACAGGTGGGGAAAAGAGGCCTCAAGCCTCATATTATGCAGACTTGGTTGGCCTTGCTAAGGATTTGGGACATTAAGAGCAGTGAGAAGCTTCTGAAACACTACCCACAGGGAAGAAATCACATTTTCGTTTAGAAAGTTGACTTAGGGAGGGAGAGAAGTCTTCAAATGTAGGGAGCTGAGCTGGTACACCACCACCACTGGAGGCCAAGTGAAATATCATGGCAGCTTGGGTTTGACGGGAATGGAGATGAACAGATCTGGACAGATTTGACCAATTTAGAAGGTAGAGTCAACAGGATTTGGATGTGATTGGATTTGGGCATGAGTGAGCTTTCCTTGCCTGTATCCTGCATGAGCACCTGGGCAGATGATGATGATTTACAGAAACTGAGAAAAACAATAGAAGATCAAGTCTGGAGGATAAGATGATGCATCAGTTTTACTGATGTATCAAAGTGGAGCCATTGAGCAAATCACTGGTTACATGGTTTTGAAGATCAACAGAGAAGTCTGGGTTGGATTTATATAATTGTGAGTGGTCAGCACATATATGGTGACAGAGTGGATTCAGACCACGTAAAGAGATCGTATAACATGAGAACAGAGTTAGGATTGACTGGGCCGAGGCTGATTAGGTGCGGTAGAAGAAGAGTTAGCAGAGGAGGTTAGAAGTTGGGAGTGGGATAGAAGAT